TGCCATGGGGGGGCGCCCCCGGGGCGCGCTTGGGAGAGCGTAGCGGTGGGGGCGCAGCGACGCTCCCGCCGCGGGTTCAGATCCTATATAGGAATGGCCCGTGCGCTCACTGGCTGAGCGCGGTGCGGGTGACACCACACCAAGGGTTGCGATCCCCTTACTGGTCACGAAAAAGACACACACAAAAAATATATATATATATATATATATATATATATATATATATATGTTACCATGTGTTCTGGGGGTACAAAAATATGAGAAATCAGAGAAAGCTATTTAACAGTAGAATGAAAAGAATCAGATATTTGAAATGAAGCTGTGTTATTAATAAGGAAAGCAATAGAAGATTGACTGAGTAACTGATTCCTTTATTCAACAAGTTATTTATTGAATAGCTGCTATGTACAGGCAGTGTTCAAGCCCAAGGGTATTGCTCTGAAAAACACTTATGCCAGTGATTCTCAACGCGATGTGATTTTGCCTACCAGAAGACATTGGCAATGTCTAAAGACATTTTGGTTGTCACAACTGGAAAGGGGAGGTGCTGTTGTTATTTAGTAGGTAGAGCCCAGGAATGCTGTTAACTGTTCTTCAGTGCACAGGATAACACCCTACAAAAAAGAATTATGTGACTCAAAATGTCAGTAGTTCTGATGCTGAGAAACCCTGAGAAAAATCATCATAAGTACATATTTCGTAGAATAATTGTAACCTTGTGGTTGACATTTAACTTTCTGTGTTTTCAGAAGTGAGGAAGTTTACTGGAGTAACATGGAGGCCTCAGTAATATTACCCATTCTGAAGAAAAAACTAGCTTTCCTTTCAGGTATGTGTTCTCCTTAAAATTAGAATTAGAAGTGTTTGTATATCAACTTATTTAAACTAACTTTCTTTGATAAGTTTGACAGAAATACATTTTATTTTTCCATGAAGGTTTTGTTTAAAAGGTGTTTTTGAGATGTTTTTAATCAGAATGGATAGCCGTGTGAGCTAACTCCATCACTGCTAGTTCTTGGCAGGCCAATTTCCAATTTTTACTCTGTTCTGTAATTTGATTAAAATGACCTCTACAAGGTAGTTGTCATGATGTCTCACTTCTTATATAAAAATGTAATAATTAATAATTGACTAACTGGCAGCTAAAAGCTCCAGAAATATAGAGTAATTGGTTATCCTATCGCCTAGTTTTTGTTTTCCATCTTCCTATGAGAAAGTTTCAATACACTGGAGGAGTTATGGAATATCAATTGTATTGTTTTCACTTTTTACTTTTCGAAATTCAATTTACCTTCAGTTGTTAACCCAAAATCTACATCAGCTAAGAGGAGTCAAGGAGAAGCAGTGAGGTATTTTACTGGTGAGAAAGCACTGGATGTCATGATTTTTTTGGAATTTGGGTCATTGAGTAAATCTGCACATACTTTGGAATAGATCCTGTGGTCCTGCCAATTTAGGGTTATTTGGACTGTATCGTCTTGCTTTTTCTTTTTATTCCCTTTGTTATAATTGTCTTGATAGTACTAATGTCCTTTTTTCAAAGTGTATTTTGTCTCTCTGTAAATTGGAATGTTTTCCTAGAATGGATTATAAAGAACAAAATAAGAAATTGATTTCCTCTCATGTTTTTTCCTTATTTAATATGTATTTTCTTTTTTTAAACACTTCTTCCCTTTTTGGTTGACACATATTTTCTCTATTGTTTTCTGATATGAATGGTAGTGTAAATGTTCTTATTCATAGATTTCTGTATTTTGTACAAGTTCAGCAGTATAAATTCTTATAAACAGAAGTGTTGAAAGAATATACATTTAAATTTTGTGTAAGGTTTTGTCAGATTGCCCTCCACGAAGATTGTTTCAACAGTGTATGAAAATACCTGTTTTTCCACACCGTTGCCAAATAGTGGATGTTATTATTATCTCTTTATCAGTAACATTTTGCATCCTGTGACACTTGTCTCTGTGCAATATTTGACTCTGTTGACAAGTCATATCTATCTTGAAAGTCTTTTTCCTCTTGGCTTCTGCCCCTCTTGTGCTTTTACATGTGATTATTTTACTGTCCCTTTGTGAAAGCTGAGGGTATGGAGTTAAATGTAGTTCTGAATGTTAAACTCGTCCACTAAAGACAGCTCTACAGTGGGTCAGAGTGCCACAGTCCAAGTGGGAACTGTTTTGGAGGTTTGGTTTAATGCATAGATAAAGCTTAGTGATTTAAGGAGCAATTGGAAGATCTGAGCCCACCCTCCTTAACTTCCTCTCTTACGGATTGATTATTTTAGCCAGTAATTTTCAAACTTTTTTAATAATAGAGAAAATCTTTTCAAATCAACAAAATCATTCAGTGGATACCGTTTGAAAACCACTTGTGTCATCTATTTAAAAAAAGATCAAAAACTAAAACCTATATTCTAAATAAAAAACTCAATTTGAAGTTGTTATTAAGTTGAAACATCTGAAATTGCCGTATGTTGATGTTAAAAAAAGTGATTGAATGTTAGCAATTTGTATGGTTAACCTAATGAAGGAGAGAAGATCATTTATGATTTGCATGTCATGAATTGCATTGTCATGAATTGCATTCATGTCATTGATAGGAGTCTTTTTAAGCTTCTAAAATTGCCATAAGTGTCAGTTGGGTCACAAGATGGGCTTCAGTGTGAAAGTCAAGCATGTGGGGAATTTTCAAAGAAGTTATATGTGTATCAAGTGTTTAAAAGGTACATTTTAATGCATATGGCAAGCTGAAGGGAACTTGAATGTACATGAAATGTGTGTTCTACTACTTGACTTTCAGGCTTCAATATCCAGGTCCCATGCACTCTTCCCAGCTGGGCAGGACTTTCTCTTTATTGACTTGTGAACAATATATGGCTGTTGGACCTTTGTGAATTAACTCAGGTCGTTCCTCATTACAGAGTTCTCTTTTGACTTGGCTTACAAGTTCTGCCTATTTTGCTTAAGTTTTAACTTTTCAATGAAACTTTTCACGTTTATTGCAACTCTTAGCATTTTCTGAATCCCTTTTTATGATATTTTATAGTATATTTTATACAGTACAACTTAGCAAATAAACTGTCATGTTTCTTACTATTATTTTTTATGACTTTAAACTTTTTTTCCTAGGTCGATTAGAAATTTATTTTACTTCAATGCTTATTGTACTAGGCACACAATAGGTGTTTGATGAATTGATTATGTTAAGAAACAGACTAAAATGGAAGAAAATTAAATGGTAATTTCTATGTTTGGGTGAAGATTTCATGGGTGAATTTTTTTCCTTTAATTTTTTCTAAAGTTTTAAAAATTTTGCTATACCACTATAAACATTTACAATCTATGAATAGCCATTAGGTATATTTTAATTATGTCTTAAGCTTGTAAGTGTTTTGGTGACATAGGATTCAACTATATATTATTCATACAATGCCTTAACAAGCCGTTATGTGTTAAATTGATTTTTTTTTTTCCTTTAATAGGAGGAAAGGACAGACGAAGTGGCCTCATTCTGACAATTCCATCAACTATATATTATTCATACAATGCCTTAACAAGCCGTTATGTGTTAAATTGATTTTTTTTTTCCTTTAATAGGAGGAAAGGACAGACGAAGTGGCCTCATTCTGACAATTCCATTATGCCTCGAACAGACAAATATGGATGAGCTGAGTGTTACCTTAGACTACCTACTCAGCATTCCAAGGTGACTCTAAAGGTGTCTTTTCTTAAATCTCAATATATTTTCATTCACTTACTAATGATTCCTACTATCATTGAAGTATACTTTGCAATCTAATCTGCTTTTATTAGCAGTGAAATTATAATTAAAAATACTAGAATCAATAACTTATGACACTACAGCAAAAAAAATATTTTGTGTTCTTGATGCACTTAATGATACTGTCAACCTTTTAGGAACACAATGATTAAGCATCTGTATGGAACTTTAAAAAAATTAGAGAAGTTAGTTCAGTAGAAAGCATCTTTTATTTAGGTAGCTGATTCACTATGTTGGTATAAATACTTTTATAGGTTTTAATATATTGAGTAAGGGCTATTAGGAGTTTAAATATATTCTTAGTTTTATTTTATTTTATTTTTTTATTTTTAAAAGATGACCAGTAAGGGGATCTTAACCCTTGGCTTGGTGTTGTCAGCACCACGCTCTCCAAAGTGAGCTAAATGGCCATCCCTACATAGGATCCAAACCTGTGGCCTTGGTGTTATCAGCATCACACTCTCCCAAGTGAGCCACAGGCCGACCCTTATATTCTTAGTTTTAAAAATGCAAAACATTTTATTTATATTTTAATCCAAAGGCCCTAGAATTTTTAATTTTTATATTTCTTGAGTGAAGACAAAGCTTAAATCTTCATATTTGCTTGAGAGTCTACCCATCATTTCAACAACAAAAACAGAAAAGACTCCTCCCCAACTTTCTCTCCCATAATTGATATTATTTGGGGACTGAAGCGTGACTGCATGTTAGAATCATCTGGAGATGTTTTTCAAACTTCTATTGTCTGGGGATTCACTTCCAAAGATTCTAATTCAATTGTTTTGGGGATGGGTATTCAGCAGATTTTTTTTTTAATCCTTTAAGTTTCCCATGTAATTTTAACGTGCAGCCAGGTTTGCAAACCATTGCAATAAAGCATAAGAATGAGGGCAGTTTTGTGTGTGTGTTTGTGTGTGTGTTTGTAAAATGTAGAGGTGGAAAAAAATCATATAATGCTCTTAAACTCTAGACAGTGAATTTTAAGCATTTTAGTCAGAGTAAGCAATTCTTAGTATCCTTTTCCTATATTTGCATTTTATTTAACATAATAGCTTATTTCATTTTAAACCACCTTGCAGAGCATGGGGTTAAAACTATATTGCAGAGCAACTGATTTTGATCACACGTACTTCAATATTAGTTTGTAATTTAATGATTCTGTTGCTGATTATTTTTTTAATATTGGGGAAATAGATGTCTTCAAGTGAAAATTTTAATTTTTTTCCCTTTCTGGAGAGGAAAATTATCAGACCCCACTGTCAATATGTTAGTATTGAATAACCTTGCTAATCATCTGAGCTACTGATTGCTAATTTATATTATTTGCCATTAGATAACAAACTGCTTTTAGATAATAGAGACTATCCAGACTCACACCTTACAAATTATGAAAAAAGTATTCATAGATGGATTGGTGTGTCCCAGCTTCAGCAGACAGAATGGATAGAGCAATTTGTATTTTCCTCAGATTTTGTTCTCTCTGAGCCCCCACAGATTGGATGGTGCCTGCCTATATTAAGGGTGGACCTTCCCCATCCAGTCCACTCAGGTTTATATGCTAATCTGTTCTGGAGACACCCTCATAGACCCACTCAAAAGTAATTCTTTACCAGAATTTAGTCAAGTTGACACCTAAAGTTAAAAAACATAATCACAAGTAGACGGTGTCTTCTGGAACTCAGCCTCTGCACATGTTCCAATGTTTTTGATGCAATCCTAAAGCTGATTTTTCTCCTCCAGAATGTCTTCCATTCAGAACTGCTTTTAAAATATAATTTTCTCAATTATTTGAAAAACAAAAAAAAAAGGTTTGCCTTTAACAAATTCAGTATTTTCATAAATATGTGCTGTAAATGCATAAAAGAAAGCTGTACCCTCTCATGCTTCATTAAAAGGGTCAATATTTAAAGTGAAATCCTGGACAATTGCTTGAGCTTCCAAAGATAGAAAATTGACCCCACACATGTCAATGTGAAAGCAAATGAATTTCATATATTTTGAAAATAAAGTTGGTTGATCTTGTAAAAAAAAAAAAAAATGTAATTTTCTCCCTAACATTTATTATTAAAATTTTTATATATACAAAAATGTTGAAAGGATCATACAGTAAGTACCCATGCCTACCCACTTAGAAGGTCTATAAATAACATTGTACTTTGTTTTAACACATATACAAGGATCTTAAAAAAATTCATGGAAAGATTCATATTATCTTTTAATTCTGTTTTTCCATGAACTTTTTGAAGTTACCCTCATATATTCATTTTCCACCTCTCTTTCTGTCCCAGAACTGTTTTTAGGTTTACCCTATGAGATCAAGATCAGCATCTGTCTAGAAAGGTTTTTTCATTTCTTGTGTATATTAGTCCATTTCTGGGTGATTTATTAGAAAACAAAATTTATTGCTTCCAGTTTCAGAGGCTGGGAAGTTCAGAGTGTAGAGAACACATCTGGTGAAGGTCTTGGTGGGTCTCACATGGCAGAAAATGGCAGAGCAGGGAGTGACTAACCTGTCATGTGCTCTTCTTTTAAAGCCTTCAGAACCACTCCCCTGACAAACATTTTTAATCCATTCACTAGGCTTGATCTTCAGAACCACTCCCCTGACAAACATTTTTAATCCATTCACTAGGCTTGATCCTCAGAATCTAATCACCTCTTCAAGGCCCCACCTTTCAATCACCACAATAGGATTTCCCACCTTCAACAGTTACAGTGGGAATTAAGCTTCCAATATATGGACTCTGGGGGACACAATTCAGTCACTCCACAGCATAGTATGTCTGTGTTTTTTTGTGACCTGCTGTGTCTCCCAATCCCCTGCTGTTAATGTTTAACTCCTCCCAATTGTGAGCACCTGCAGATTGCTCTAGCAGTGTGGCTAGCTGATGTGGCCTCTCTCTTGCCTATAGTTGTCCAAAAGTGGTTTCCTTTTTGCAATGAACATCTTATCATTTCGAATAATAGTTTTTTAAAAGTTATGCCGAAATAAGAAGAAACTATTCTGTTTCTTACCTATATTTTATGCTCGTTTTTATTGACCCAGGAACAAGATATGATATATATACTTATTTTAAATGGGTAACCCAGCACAGTCGAGAATGGGAGAGTTTCTTGACACAGGTTGTATTAGTCAGTTTCTGTTGCTTTTAACAAAATACCCAAAACTGAGTAATTTATAAAGAAATAGAATTTATTTCTTACAGTTCAGAGTCTGGGAATTCCACAGTCCAGGGAACATGTGGTGAGGGCTTTGTTGGTGGGTGATGGCTCTGTAGTGACACAGGGTATCACAAGGCAAAATGGCTGTGTGTGTGTGTGTGTGTGTGTGTGTGTGTGTGAGAGAGAGAGAGAGAGAGAGAGAGAGAGAGAGAGGAGAGGGAGAGAGAGAGGGGAGAGGGAGAGGGAGGGGGAGGGAGAGGGAGAAGGAGAAGGAGAAGGAGAGGGAGAGGGAGAGGGAGAGGGAGAGGGAGAGGGAGAGGGAGAGGAGAGAGCGCTCTAAGCTTTTCAGTTGCTCCCCTTATAAAGGCATCAGAACCATGCCCGTTACTCTGTGATTGGATCAATCTGTTCACAGGATTACAGTCCTCACAATCAAATCACTTCTTAAAGGCCCCACCTTTGAATTACCATAATAGGATTACCATAATAGGATTTCCCACCCTCCTAACACTGTCACAGTGGGGTTTAAGTTTCTAATACATGAAACTTTGGCAGACACATTCAACCCATATCCCAGGTTGACCCTAAATTTGTTTTTGTTTCATACTCTGAGTAAAAGGACCATGAAGAAAGGAGGCAGTCAGGTTAACTATAGCCTGACCTGGATACTGAGTTTATGTTCAGGTAACTCCTTATATCTGGTTCTGTGTGGAGTTCAAGACCAGCCATTATGGCCCCACTTTTTATAAAGGTTCAGTCATGGGTTTTAATAAAGAATAATAAAGATTAACAAATTTGGGCCAACTTGAATGTGAAATTTTAGGAGAGATACATAAACTTTTTCTTTTATTTCCCTGCTATTGCTATACATTTTAGACATAAACAAGATCATAAATTAAGAGTTTATGATTCAGAAAGTGGAATAAAATTCACTAAGAATAAAAGTTCATTAAGATTCACTTATGAAGGTAAAGACAAGAACATAAATTAGCCTGCAAATTTTTTCATTAAAAAAAGTAACTACTTAGTAACTAACAAAATCTCACAAGTGGGTATTTATCTTCTATCATTTTATTATATGTTTCAAAATTTTAAATCAGAAGCATGTCCATATTTAATGTACAATGAGATTTGTTTTAATGTTATTACGTGAAGTATGATTATAAGGTATTAAGACCAACTTTTTAAAAGCAAAAGTGGTGAAATGTGTACACCATTGTTTCTCACCTTTTTGTTTATTATCACCCTAATCGCTTTTGCTTGGTGTCATGTAGTTTACATTTGAATCAGTCTCTTATTAGGTTGTGAGGCACTCGAGTTCAGAGCCATGTCTTATTTATCTCTGTATCCACAATGCCAATAAAAATGAGATTTTAAGTGTTCAGCATATGCATATTGAAGGAACAAACCAGACTTAGCAACAAAGTCATAGAAATGACCTAGACTCTATTGTGAAAGGAAACATGATAGCCATGTAGATCTGTAATTTTTTAAAATGGTAAAATGATCATTTGAATCCCATACAGATAGTTTTATAAGTACCAGTACTGTATAGGGTCTATATTCTGTATGTTCAGGACTTTTAAATATCTGTGGACATCTTTGTTCAAAGGAGCAAAGCCACAGAAGCCAAAACAGATAGAAGCAGCCCATGGCTGGGTCACTGCAGAGTCCCCTCCTCCAGTTGTAAGGAGCCTCCTTGGAGTTTAGAGGACTATGCAGAACAATGAGAAGATCATTTGAATATGAATATAACACCTTTA